TGAATAAAGCCCCACCTGATGAGGATGATGACTGACGGTGTCTGTGCCATGGCCCCGATCATGCTGCAGACACACATCACACACAGGAATGTCAGGAAGGCCTCTTCACACCCAGGGCTGGGGCATTTGCCAGGAACCACGGTGGCGTTTTCGGCAGGGACCGAGGTGAGGCACGAACAGCCACTGAGGTTCTGCAGAGAAACACAAGGAGTCAGGAGCAGGGAGAGCTGTGACCCCCACCTGTAACAGGGCTTGTCAGCAGCAACACCTAATCCTCTAATGGTCAATTAAATTACTTCTAAGTGCTTGTTGGAGGGGGGTTTGGAAAGAATTTCAGGAGCATCAGGGCTGATGCATGTTGCCAGCAAGGGAAAGCTGTCCCTTGGCTTGTTTCTTTTCTTCTGCTCCTTTCAAGTCTCTCCCATAAATGTCACCGTGACAAAATTATTACCGAGTTCTACCTTTTTGGAGGAGAATAAAGAAACAATCTGTGTCTCTGTGACAAGGAAGATCCCCCCATTATGGTTCTAATTACTTTCTTATTTACCTCCATCCTCTTGGCTGCTGCAATTAAACTGAAGAACATTAAATGCAGGTAAATCTGCAGCCCTGTTCTTGGCTGCAGGTTTGGGACCTGCTTCCAGCACCTCAAACCCTGGGAAGGAGCCACCCACGATGGGTGCTGCAGCTCACCCAGAGCTGAATTACCACAGCCTGGCAGCACAGACGCTGCAGGACTTCAGTGCACTCCAGGGCTAATAAACGGCATCTGCTTCAGAGGGATTTGTGTTGAGCTAAAAGCTCAAGTCAAGCAAGATAAACTTTATCAATATGTGATCAGAAGGAGGGTGGAATGACTGCATTTTGCTTTGATCTCTCCAGCAAGCACAGGATGTGAAAGGAAGCTTTGTTTGCCAGTCACAGATTTAAGGATTTACTTCTTTTTTCCTTATTTTCCCAATTCGCCCTCCTGAATTTCTGAGTGGGGATGTCAGTGCAATTAAGGCACACAATACTACCAAAAAATCCCTTAACGAATACAGAAAGAAACAGTCATTAATGATTCATGACTTGTCTTCACCAGCCCGCTGGGTTTGCAGGTCACATGTTTATATGAGGAGAAACGTCATAAAACATAACATATTGAAAAGCAGCTGAATCTCCTCCCCTTCCCCTCTACCATGGGCAAGCAGAAATTCCTTTGCTTTTCTGCAGAAGCGTTCCCCTTAGGACCATACAAAAGCACACTTTCTGGTTCGCTGCCTCCAAAGATAAGGTTCAGCAAGGGTACTACTCCAACCTTTCTGACACCAATCTCTTTCTTCTGCACAGGAGTCAAATCCTTTTTTTCCAACTAAGTGCACAAAGGGCAAGAGAGACTGTGGTGCAGAACTCCAGGAGAGCTGGAGCAGACATTCAGGTGCCTTTCTGCTGGCAAGCAGTAATTAACATAACAAATTCCTGTGCTGAGTTAGAAGCTGATACCTGAAGGCTCCAGAATGTCGACAATTAGCACCACTGAGGTGGTATTTGCACAGACAACAGGAATTTGTAGCTCCTGGTTCTTACTGCAGTGCATTGCTACCCACCAGCCTGGATAAAGCCCTGTGGATCAAAAACCCATCTAAGTCTGGAAAAGTATATACCTGCACTGAATAACCCTTGGACAAAACTCCCATCACAGCAAACATGCAGCATTGAGTGTTTATTTCCCATGGGCTCTCGTCAAGAGACAGAAAGTACCTGTTTCAGGCAGTGGTGGAGCAGGCTGTCCTCACAATGGTGAGATTTTTTTACAAAGCACAAGGCAGATCCTACCTTCACTGCCTGAAAATTTGTCCCTCAATCCACTTTTTCCACCACTTTGCTTCAAGGTGCTGGCCCAAAGCAGTGTGAGTGGTTTGCACCAAGTACCTCAGCTTGCTGAGCACTGCACCTCATCCTTACCTGGGAGATCTTTGATCTTTTATTACTGACACAGTATGCAACTCACAGACATCAAACAAGGAAACATCAAAGATGGAGTTATAACTTTGTCCTGTGGAGAGGCAATTTTTTGCTACCTGTGCCAAACTTCTATAGATCCCCTTGTCTGCAACCCCACTGTATTCAACCACTTGTTATTAGAACCTTCTGCTGCCCAGCAACCTGCACACTCAGATTTATGTGTGCCTGTGAGACTACACAGATGCAGAGTTTACACCTTTAAAAGCACCCTGACTTTGGTGTGATTATCCATGCAAATTACCCATGTTTTTAATTACTCATTTTTTAAGCCCTGGCTCTGACTGGTACTTCAATGCAAAGCTGTGAGGTGCCAGCACAGTAACTCCAGGCTGGAGTTTCTGTGTCTCCAGCCAAAATGCTGAGAGAGTCAATGGCATCAAGAAAAAAAACACAAGGTATGCAAGGGTCACTCCCAGGAATGACTTGAAAGGAAAGTTCTTGGGGGTGCCAGAGCTCTGTCTACCAGTTCTGATATTCCTACGGCTTTTTGGACAAGTGCACCTCTGGAATCAGCTCAGTAAGAGAGAGGGAATGAAAAAGAAAAAAATAACGGAGCTACACATTGCTTTTAGAAATTGTTCACAGAAGAAAAGTGAAGAGAAGCAGTCAGAAACGTAAAATGTAGTAAAGTTAAATAAAGCATTCAGAGAATTTTATGTCCCAGTAAAAAGCAACCCTTGGCTCATCACAAGCACGTAACATTCACAAGACCCTCCAGACAGGTCATTACCTGGATTATGGGTTTAAAACTTGGTTTGGCAATTTGGCTTTGCCTCAAGGCCATTGCATGGCCAAACTGGTCCATAATTCTTGATAATGCCCTTTCCAGCGGATGCTATTGCTTCACCAATTTGTGTTCAAAATGTTACTGCAAAAAACCCCCACAAAACAAAGAGATGAGAAAAACCCCGAGGATGACAACGAAAAGGCAAAATAAGAAGGAATGAGTAAGAGAGAGCCTGAGGGAGAGTGAGTTTTTTGCTGAGAGGTTTGCTCTTGCAGAGCACAAGGTCAGGCAGTGCAGACTGAAGGGGCAGAGCTGAATTTTCATTACCACACTCCTTCCAGAGGAGCCAGAGCTTTGCCCTGCCCTGCCCTGCACTGTGAGGAGATCACTCCCATGCTCCAGCCACAGACCAACACCAGCTGTACACCTGCTGAAGGCTTGGTGAACTGCTGAGACACAATTCTGTGTGCCTGAAACAAGCTGGTTTCTTGTGAAAATCATCCTGCTCCCCTCTCAGGTGTTGACTGACTGGGAGGAGGAGGAAGAGGAGGGCAGGAGGTAACACCTTCACGTGTCATACACTGATGTAGATCTTTGTAAGGCTGCTGAAAGCTCAAAACTGTGGTGCTTCACAGGGATGCCTGCATCTCTGAGGCTGGAGAGGGAATGGAGGAGATGTTTAAGCAGGACAAGCTCACAGGTGATCTGGAAGGCTGCCCTGCCAGCAGCGTCTGCTCAGCAGCACTTGCATGTGCTTTGTCTCTGGGGCAGGAAGGCAGGTTTAGTATCTCCTCAAAGAGGAAGGATGAAGCCACGGGGGGATAATTGCATGTGGTGAGCACTGATGCCCCTGTAGGCACAAACAATCCCTGTGACCAGGCTGAGCTGGCACAGACTCCACACGGCAGTGATCACCACGCCTGGCACAGCCCCAGGCAGCAAGCAAGGATGCAGGAATCCCAGCAGTCCCCACCCACAGGAGCAGCAGGCACTCATTTTCAGTGTAACCCAGAAGACATTAACATTTCAGCAGCAAAAAATGAAAAAGCTGGCTTTTAAGATGTTGTTAAAAATTCCCCACATCTTCTTTATACAGAGATAGTTTGGTCTTTAAGAGTTTTCTAAGAGAAAAAAAACTCTTGGAGAGAACTAAAAAATGCAGAGTATCTTTGGATGGAATCTCTGCTCCCCTGACAACTGCTCTTGCTGCTGCCTCAGAGCAAAGCAAGGAAAGAGAGAGAAGCAAGAGGAGTTAAAGGAAAGCTTAAACAAAGGTGAATAAAATCAGGATATGCTCACAACTGTCTAGGAACCAGATTCAGGGAAAGAGCAAGAGGAAAAAGACTAAAAGGGTTGGGAAGGGCACACATGGGCAGGTGGAGAAGAGGGGAGATGAGGAACAGCAGGATAAAAGAGAAGCTGGTTCCTCAGCTGGTCCCTTCTGGGCTAGCAATGTCCTGCAGAGGATGTGCTTTGCCACTGGACACCTGTGCAGATCTCCTACCACGTTCCTTGCTTCTATGCTGAGGAGGAAGAGCAGGGCAGGAGGTTGTGAGATCCCATCCTGCTCCGTGGCAGCTGCTGCTGGAGAGAGTGGGAATTTATGGAACAGAGTCAAAATCAACAGGGGCTCAGGTCCACTGGAGGTGGAGGTCAGCTTTTGGGGGTGCAGCCACTGCTGGCTGTGGGTGAGCTACTCTACCAGACTCGCAGGAACCTCACTCACTGAGCTCCCAGAAGTGTTCCTACAGGTGAGAGGTCCCCAGGAAAGCTCACTCACCGTGCTGCTGCAGCCAGCAAAGCAGGCAGATAAGTATGTGACCCCGTCTGCCCCACACACTGGAGTGAAGGAATCAGTTTGGCATTCACAGTTGTTATTGCAGGGGGAATATGGGTCCAGAGATGAGGTTGGAGTTGAGCTGTAAGACAAAGAGAGAAAGAAATTAATGGATAGTGTGATATCAGGCAGCTTTTCCAATTGTTGCCTCACAAAAATGCCTTTGAGAGGGATAGTTAAGGCAAACACATTACAAAAAAGCAGTGGAGGATTCTTTTTAAGGCTAGCTGGGTTCCAGCTCTAAGAAATCCAGGCTACAGCCTGTCCTTGGAGACTGAAATACCATGGCCACTATCTCCCTGCAAAAGAGAATCTAATGCAAGGCTTGGGCTGCCCTGTAACCTCAACAAGAAGCCTCAAGGAAACACACAGAGATGCTGTGGAGATTGCTCTGTGTTTTCCTGCAACACTGTAAGGAGCTGACAGGCTGAAGCTGTCATCTAAAGAGTTGCCACTGCACACAGGAGCACTCAGAAAGAAAATACCAAATAACTCTCTCCAAGTCCTGTGAGTGCAGGACATAACAGGGTTACATGGGCCTCATTTCTCATATTAAAATGGGCCTGCAGCCACAAACACTCTCTCTTCACCATATCTCTATTTCCAGGCATCTAAACCTGGTTCTCCAAATTCCCCTCAGGCATTTAAATCAATGTATAAAGCAGTGCATTCCAGGACAAACCAGACCTACAAAAATGCTACAGGTCTGGCACCTTTTGATTCAGTTGTATCTGACTGAATTTCAGATTTTAGTGAAACTCTATTGTCATCTGCAGGTCCTCAACTCTCCCAGTGATGAGTGGCATGGAAACATCCCAGACCAAGAGCCCACACAACACTGCCTTCCCTGTGCTTGCTCTATGGCTGTCTGAAGGCCAGCACTACCTGCTGAGGACACAAACACAGATTTATGTTGGTAAAGCTCCCTGAAACTCTCTGTGGACTCACTTGTTTCCATAGGGAACAGTAACCCCTGCCACAGGTCCTGTGTCACACCCCAGGAACAGGAACGACACGTAGCAAGCTGTGGACACCAGGTTCACCAGCATGGCCATCCTGATGGCTCCCAGAGCAGACAGGCTGAGCTTCTTCACCAAGAGCCCACCCAGGAATATGCCCAGACATGCACATGGGATTGCTGTCATCCCTGCAAGAGGAAAAACCAGTTAGCAAGAGGCAGGAGCAAGGCACAGTGAGCTACACAAAGTGACAGGGCTGAACTCTCCTGCAGCCAGATCTGTGCCCTGGCATGAGGAAACCTTGCAATGACCAACTGCTGGAATAGCTCCAAACTGGGGCTGCCCAAAAAATGGAACAGATGCAAACAGGCATGCTGCCTTGCATGGAGGAACCAGGATTTTCTGCCAGTTCTCATCCATGCTGGAGGGAATGCCAGACTTGCTGAGCTTGGCCCAGCCTGACCTAAGCGGCAGCAAATAAAGTCAAGAATTTTCCGAGGTGTCTGGAGGCTTTGGATGAGCCCTGCTGGTGCGACTCACAGAAATCTGATCTAGAGAGACTAGGCAGGAGCAGCACTTGAAAATATGAAATCTCCCTAAAAGAATTTTCTTTAACTGTGAAATGCAAAATCATTGCCAGAAGTGACTCCCCTTCCAGCACAGACAGAAATTACCACACTATGCTTGTTTGGGATCACTTTTATCCCTTTGCTGCCAGTTACAATCCAGATCTCACCCGCCTGAACTGTGCTGAGAAGAGAATCCCAGTCCTGGCATTTCTAGACTCCCTTAAATGCCACGTGAGAAATCTGATTACAGCTTTGTTTAAACAAGCTGCTGTGAGAAACACGGAGGTATCCAAGTCTCCTTTCCCGCTGTGAGGTCAGAAGCAGGATGTGCTCTGGCTCATGGGTGATCCCCTCTCTGCTGGCCATCCAGCTGTACTCACATGCTGACTGCCCAGCCAGCTCCCACCAAACAGCATTTTCCCTTCTCCCACTGGGTCAACAGTGAAGTTACTTTCCTTTGCCAAGCCTTTAATTTTCAGGAAAGATGGAATAGCCTAACAACTTTGAGACCTCTGGCCTTCTGTCAAATTGTATTAAAATTCACTAGCAAATTCCTGGGTTGCTGGGGGAGGCAAGGCTGACTGCAGGGGATTGTTTCTTTTGGAAAACCAGGCCAAAACCAGAAGACAGCTTCCAAACTTCTCTTTATGAAGATCCACCCATTTCCTAATGTCCCAGTTTTTGACAGATCACTGCCAGCTGCCCATCTGGCGAGCTGGGGTCGCAGATCATCCAAGATCAACTTGCAGATATCTTAATTGGGTGCTGCTGAGAGAAAGGCTGTCATAAACAAATGGCTGGGCCTGCCTGGGATGAGCAGCAGCAGAAAATAAATGAATATTCTGCCATCAGTGTCCTGACAGGGAACAAATGAACACTGAGAAATGCAGAACGTGAAATCACAGCAGCATGGAATGGTCAGAGAGAAGGGACATTTGAAAGACAACCAAGCTGCACTAACTCAGTACCTGAACTGCTCATTGCAACCTTGTCATTTCCAGGCCAAGGGGAAAGCAGTGACTAACAGGAGAAATTGGACTTCCTAACCCAGACTGAGACAGGCTGCAGAAGTGGGGGGCACCAGAACCATGAGACAAGGAGTTCAGTGGGGCACACTATGACTTGCAGAGTCTCAGGGATTCAGATGGCCCATTTCTGCTGCATCCAAAGCTCCCACAGACTCCTCTCCTGCCTGTCCCATACCTCTTCCCACACAATAGGCTTGGCCACAGGGGAAGTGATGGCAGCAGGATGCAGTGGAGGACAGAGCTGAGGAGAAAAGATGCCGGAGGTCTGCTCTGGGCACAGCTGAAGCCCAATCCTTATTCACAGACACATTTCCACGTGTCAGAAAAGTCACTTTTTGGGCAGCCTAACCGGCGAGACTGGCAGCAGTTACCAGCCGTGCTGAAGGCTTTTAAATACCCTTGGGTGCTGGAGGGTTGGTGTCCCCGTGGTTACTCACCCAGGAGCTGGTTGGCAGATGAGGTGGTGAGGTTGAACTGCTGCTCCAGGTACTTGCCCAGGAAGGCAGCGAAGCCGGCCACCACCGCGATCTCCATGCACGCTGCCAGGATGATGCAGGTGAACACGGGGTTGGAGAGCAGGTGCTTAGTCACTTTGGGGATCACTGCAACACAGGAGAAAGGGAGAAGTGTTTTTGTGCAGACTTTACTTGAGGTGCTTTCTCCTCTGTGGAAAGGCAAACTCACTTCACATCAGGAGTAATTTCCTGCTCTGCACAGACGAGCTGCTTGAAATGTGGGAACACCAGAACAAAGGGAAAACACCCAAACAGTGCCATCTAAAGATTAAAGAACCAAGAAGGTGCAAAAAGAAATTATTTGTGATTGTTTACTCTTACAGATGATTATGAAAATTGGAAGAATGAGAAAAATTTTCAATATTGCTTTTTGTTTCCTCCATAGCGAAGTCAATCAAAACCTGGTGTGCTCTTTCTTCCCCTTCTCCTTTCTGTTTCTCCTTTCTCTTTGTTCATGCTCCCCATGAACAAAGCTCAGCCAGCCAATGGGTACCATCAGTGCTGTATTCAGCATAAATTCTTGCAAGCTTTCAGACACAAACTATCCCAGCTCACATCTGGCTTTTTCCTTCTCCTGCCATTCAGATTTGCTTCATTTTCCTATTCCAAACTGGCTCACTCACTGATGGTCACCGTCTTGCAGCACATGGGTGTTTTCAGCAAGCTGAAACTCTCTGCCTTAGCCTGGCCCATGGATACCCATGGCACAAGGATCCTCCTGCCTGGGACAGGCTTGTCAGTCTGTGTGTTCCCACAACCTAAAGCTTCTCCAGCCACCCAACACCTTCCATGTAGACCTTCCCATCCTAAAGATTGTGGAAGAGGACGTGCTGAGCTGTTCACTGTGTGGGACACACACATGCAGCTCTGGTTTCATGATCCCTTGGCTCTCCCCTCCTAAATCATCAATGTCCAGAGTCCTCACTCCTCCAAGCCCATCTCAATTTCCCATAAGCAAACAAGAGTTACCCTACAAAGGGAAATCTGACTAATGAATCAGATCTCACGTTTTCTACTCCAGTGAACGTTTTAATTATTGTCGAGATAACACAGCTTGAAGAGAAGAGCATCCCAGTACAGAAGAGAGCCTTGCTTTGTCTCAATACCTGATGACTAATTTCTCCCTGAATTAAATGTGAAAATCATTAAGTTTGAAAATTACCTTGATGTAGTGTAGTGAAGCCTCAGTGGACCCCTATTTGCATTTTGAAAATCCATCCCCCACATTCCCAGCGGTGTACCAGGGGCTGGCAGATGATGTTTCTCTGGTGCTGGTTTATATTCTCCCTCAGGGATTTTTTTGCACTGGCCTCAGCAGAGAATGCTCAGCTCTTTGTCAAGGATCTGCTTGGGTGTCCTTGGTTCTTTTTTGGGGACAGTGGAAAAAGGGGTAATAATTAGGTTTGATCTAACCTTTATGGAAGAGGTCACTCCACAGTTTCTGGTCTCTTTAGATCAGAAACATTTTTCTAAGCTGTATAAAATTCCTGCTTCCTGAACATAATTAAGGTGCAGGAGGCATAGCAATTTTTAGCAGAACAGGGGGAAAAATAAAAAGAAAAAAGAGGAAAAAAAGACTGTGTGGGAGGAATGGGGATGGGGGAATTCAGACATGGATAAATTTCAGAAACCACCTGCTGCTTCCTTCAATTCTTTGGTGGCCACCTACAGAATTTCCCCTTCTTGCCAGGAAAAATACAGAAACCGCAAAGGTGGACTTGGCAGTACTGAGCTTGAAAAGCCATATTTAAGGTATTAATGACTGTTGTGCCTCAGGAGTTCAGTTTGTTCAAGATTAATGGATTCCTTGAGATGTAGCTTTGTGCCAATTTAAATCCAAAGACACTAAGGTCTAGCTCTAACTTTATCCACCCAACAATAGTGATGACAGCCTGCCTTTTGCAGGAGGGAGTTAAAGATCACAGACATTTATTTCTGAAGTTGGCACCCAACCATCACGCACTACCAAGGTCAAAATAAATCTTCTGTGTTTGGGGTGGACAACAAAAAATTTGCAGAGTTATTGTAGCATCTCACACAAGAGAGGAACCCCTCATAAGTGCCTTGCCTGGCTGTGCTGGGCTACAAGTCACAGGACTTCATCACCTAAAGGGCTACAGGAGAGCTGGAGAGGGACTTTTGACATGGATTTGTAGTGACAGGACAACAAGTAATGGCTTTAAACTGAAAGAGAGAGGGATTACATTGGATATAAGGAAGAAAATCTTTCCAGTGAGGGTGTGACACACTGGAACACGTTGCCCAGAGAAGCTGTGGATGCCCCTGGAAGTGTTCAAGGTCAGACTGGACAAGGCTTTGAGCAACCTGGTCTAGTGAAAGGTGTCCTTGTCCATGGTGACGTGTCTGGAAAAAAATGATCTTTAAGGTTCCTTCCAACCCCAATCTTTCTGTGATTCTGTGATTCCATGATCATTGCTTCTCCTTCCTGTGAGTTTTCTGGGACAGATCCTGTCCTCTGCTGCATGTTTGATCACTGCAACAGGACTCTGTACCAGCAGGCAGGCGTGACACAAAACCAGTGCAAAGAGTGCACAGACAACTCAAGCAGTGTCTGGCAGCCTCCACCATCTCCTCAGCCAGGGCCAGCTTGTTCTCTTTCATCTTCTAAGGGAAATGACAGGAGGTTCCCTATAGAATTGAAAATATCCTTTCATCTTGCTACTGCCATTTGTTAAGATCAATCATTTGACACTGGCTGCTGCCTTATCTGTCTCAATTCTTGGGGTGAAATACCTCTGGGAAAAAGGTAAAAAGTCAGCAGTGAAGTTTAAAAATCTCTCAATGGACTAGAGCAACATGCTTTCAGCTGCCTGGCATATGGTGCTGGGTATGGAGTGGGAATAGAAATGCCTGATGGGGGACAGTGAAGCCCTGGGGAACAGCTAGGGATGGTGCTTCTCCACTGCAGCCAACTCAGCAGAAGTCATGGTAAATGTTACCCTGCACCTTACGGGCCCAAAGGTTACCTGAACACTTTGGAGCAGCCCTTTGCAGCTGTAAATCTCAACTGAAGTACATTTTCAAAGTGGGAAAAGTCTTTTAGAGTCCAAAGAGTCTCAGAATTCTACTTGGAGAACGCACAAGCTGCAGCAGACACGGCACAGACTCAGCCTCCCACTCCCAGCAGGACGAGCTCATCTACCATCCTCATCCTGACGCACGCGATGCGCTCCAGAAACGGCGGCAGGAAAGCAAATCCCACTGCCCTGAGGAGAACACAACACCTCTTCTCACTGCTGAACCACTTCAATCCCAACTCTTCACACCATCCGTGTGCAGTGTTGGTCACAGGATCATCCACAGGCTGAGAGGGACCCGGGTGGATGTCCCAAAGCTTCCCCAACAACCCGTGACCTCCCAACTCTTCCACACTCCAGCAATACCCGTGCCAAGGCACCAGAACACCCTCCCTGCCTCCCTCCGTGGGGCTCTGTGGGTGACAGCCAGGGGCTTGACAAATGCACACACTTATGTACACCAAGTAGCTCTGATTTGTCACTGCACATCGGGGAGTACCAGGGATAATTGGCAACCTCATTACACGAGGTTTAACTACTCTCCAGAAACGACAAACTATAATCATCACGTTGGTGCTTGAAATGAATTGTTTGGAACATTACAATCACCAAGGCCCCTGTTTCTGGTTGGAGCACCCTACAGAGACATGTTTTCAATTTGCAGTAAAGATGAAGAACACAGAAAGCTAAGTAATAAATTAGAGGGAGGTTTACAGCCCAGTCCACCTAGGACAGTGTGGTGAGGGAAAGGCAAAATGTAGTATTGAGCCAAAGTACGACTTTCTACTACCTGTGTCTGCAGCAAGCCTCAGGTCTGAAGAGAAAACAAAAGGTAAAATCTCCACCTGGCTCGAGGAAAAAGGGATGAAGAAAACAGCACAGACAGCAAGAATAAAACACATTCTGGAAAGAGGTAGCCTCTGTAAAAGAGAATACGGAGTAAGGCATGAGGTGCTGAAGATATCTCAGGTGAGTTTAGTATGCTGAAGTTCCACAGGGCCTTAGCAAAATTATCAAAAAGGATATGAGTGAAAAGGATGACACATAAATCTAAAAAGCCCTCCTGAAAAGATAGAAGCCTGAAGCAGCAGTAACATAAGCATGGAAATCAGGTCCTTCTAGTCCATCATCTTCTCTACTTGAGAGGAGGACATAAACCTCCCTCACCTGTGACACAGAAGTCACAGAAAAGCATTTTTTGGAAACAGGCTCTGCCTGCTTTGGCCCTGAGGTGTGCCAGTTGAAGGCCTTTCTGAATTTTTTAATGGTGCTGACAAGAAGATGCTGGCTTGGAAACAGCCAAGAAAAACCTGACAAAAATATCTGCACCCTCATGAAACACAATCCAAAGGAAACTCAAAGACTGATGGGACCTGATGCCTTTTATGATCACCACCTAAGGCTTGGATTTCTCAGCAAGCCTTTAAGGTGTTTGCAGGGGGGACAAGACCCAAATCTAAAAAAGCATTAAAGTCTAAACCTGAGCCAAACCCTCACCACTGTGGCTGTGAATGAAGATATAGATGGAGCCCTCTCCAAAAGGTTGTCACTATCAGTCATGAGAAGTCAGGAGTTAAAAACTGCTCTTGCTAGTCTTTAATCCTGCCCAATCCTATGAACTCCCACTGAGGATTACAGGCTCCCCATGGTCCAGGCCCTCCCTGCACAGCTGGGAGCTTTTAGCTTAGCACTATGTGTCTGCCCCCAGGGAGCAATTTTTGGGAGAGAAATCCCAGATTCAGAGTGGCTCTCTCCCCAGGTATTCAGCAGATTGGCACACAGAGCAGGACGGAACTGAACAGAAGACAAGGCAGCTGTCAGCTGTACATCCCAGCTCTCCTACACTCTTGAAAATTAACCTGGAAAGAAACCAAAATGTTTCAAAATCTAGGGAATTTGCAGTTCTGAAATTCATTTAATTCCACAGTGAGTTTTCTTTTAATTCCTTGTGAATGAGTTTCTCTTTCCAAATCTGGAGGATTCCATATCAATTTCAATCCTTTTAGAGTTTTAATCTCTCTTGCTAGACAGAGCGGCAGAATGTAACGAATTTCTGGTTTAAATCATTGCAAAACAGAATGCATTTAGAGCAGAATGTTTCAGAGAGGTGTTAAAGATCATGCCGAGGAAGCATTCTGAAATCAAATTTCATCAGAACTGGCCGCTCCATTCAATAGATGTGACATTTCTGTGCGGAAAAAAAAAAAGAAGGGTTTTAATGAACTATTTCCAAGCACGTCCCAGAGCAGGTGGTGTGTCAGAGGCAGCGAGTGAGAGGGCAGATGCTGGACAGACTCGAGCAGAGGGCACAGGTGCCCTGACCCAGCCGAGCATCTTCCCTGGCCCCGAGGAGCAGAGAGGTCCCCAAGGCAGAGCAGAGGTAGGAAAGCAAAGCTGTGCCCCCCAGAAGAGCAGGGACTGCCCAGCCCTTGCCTGAAGTGCTCTCACAGAACACAGGGAGAGCACAGGGCTGGAACAACCCTGCCAGGCAGGAGCAAAGAGCAATGGCAGCATTTATTCAGACTTCCACTGCTGTTAATCCTTCACTTCTCTGTGCTCCCAAATGGATTTGCTTTGCTGAACTGAAATACTAATCAGGCAAAGCGGTGCAGCATCCACGTGCCAGTTTAGGCATGGGAAGCAGCTCCCAGGACTGTCCCAAAGCTTTCCTGCCTGAGCTGCAGTGCCCCTGTGCAGAGCCCCTGCTGCCTCCACTGCCTTTGATTGCCTCTTCACCTCGTGCTGTTCAAAGGCACCACCTTCATTTCAAGTTTAGAGCTCCTCTTAAGTTTGCTTCTTTCCTGGCATGAAAATACCCCACAGGAAGAGATGCCAAGGCTTCCCAAAAGCTGGGCCCTCCCTCCTGCTTAGACTTTGACAGAGATGTAAAAGATCGATACTATGAGCATGTTCCTTTTATATTAGTCCGGGCTTTTTTTTGCGTGCTAAGGCAAGAGAAAGCCAAGGAAACTCAGCCAGCCCTCCACCTCACTGACTTTCAGCAGATCTTGTGGTGTCTGGAGCATCCTCCCACGTGCCAGCCATGCCATGTCTCTAGCTGACAGCCATGACCCAGCTCAGAGCATGTCCCCAGCTGACACTGCCCTGCTCCCTCTCCTAACACGTCCTTTCTCTTGTGGCAGTCACTGCAAGGCTGGGGAAAAAATGTAAGATAAAATAATAAAGCTCCTTCAGTAGCCAAAAAGGAGAAGCATTTCATCCTCTAAGGATGTGTTTGCATTATCAATCCAGAGAAACAGCTCTTCCTCCCCACACCTGCACAAGAGATGGACAATCCACACCTCCATGCAGACATGGACTTACAGCAGGAACAAGCTGCAGAGACAACACTTGCTAAAAATGAGTCAGAGTTATGGCCATCCAAACCCCAAGGAGCATCTCCAGTCCCAATCCCCTGTACAGGCAAATCCTCTGCTGTAGCCCAGAAAAGCTGTGGTTGTCCCATCCCTGGAAGTGCTCAGGGCCAGAATGGATGGAGCTACAAACAAGCTGGTCTAGTGGAAGGTGTCTCTGCCCATGGCAGGGGGTTGGAAGTAGATGATCTTTAAGGTCTCTTCCAACTCATACCATTTTATGATTCCATGGATTCTGTTCAGCCTCACAAATTCATGCAAAATCCAAGGTCATATTAGGACAGAAGACATGACTACACATGCATATATGTATTTTTAACCTCTGTATATAATTAAGAGCCTTTTTTACCCTAGGAAAAAGTCTAAATAGTCTTAACTTTCTCCAAAAGAGATTTAACAAATAGACTAAGGAGACCAGGACCTGCCACAAAGGAATACATACAGATATTTCAGCTGCTACCAAAGTAATGTATACCCACAGAAAGATTAAACCATCACCTGAAACACTGCTCATCAGGAATGATGAGGTGTGTTTGCCTCTCTTCAGCAACATGACTCTTGACCACATTCTGACTGTGACAACAGTGGCAAAGGACTTGAAAGGAGATGTCAGCTACCAACACTGTGTCGTCTGTGACAGCCTCAAAGGAATAACTAAAAAGGTCATTGCTTGTCTTATTTGATGTGACGTAAATTTTATTTCAAAGTCCATCTAGAAAGAGGCTCCTGGAATACTGACTGATCCAAAATGGGGTTACCTGCAGTGAGAGGGCTAATGTGGAGGCCTGTGGTGCCTCCTGATGTAATCAATACTTGAAGCATATGGATGTGGCAGTTTAATTTCTCTACTTCAATGAGCAACAGATGCTCAGTGAACGCCCCCATGGCCTTCCTGTGTGCAAGATGGTCAGCACCATCCTCAGGCTGAACTGCTGCCCCTCCATGCAGCACGTATACATCATATTCTTTCACTTTTCTATATGATAACCTGCAAACTTTGTTCCAGTGCCCACTCCAAAAGCTTAGTGGCCAGAAGCAGACACTATGATGTGTACACAACAAAAGCAACAGACCTATCCATATGGACAAATAATGGGAAAAGCCCATGCAAGAGAAAATCCTTGCAACAAGGATGAAAGGATAAAGAAATGAATTTTACTGACTGAGTTTCAAAAAATTTATCCATTTACCTTTCCTCTGAATTTCCTCATCAAGTCAAAATTTCACCTTGACCTTCCCTTAATGAGCAACCACATCTACTATTCAAGGCATTTTTATATATTTAGACAACACTTTTTTCCCCAAAGTCTTTTTTCCTTCCCACCTGCATTTCACTCAACTCCCAATTAAGGTGACTGCACAGGGAGTAAGTGATTTTGTCCTCATTTATCTAAATGCATCAGGCAGTAATGAAACCTGCTCTACCACAGCAATAGGGAGTGAGAAGCAGCTACAGAAACACCCTCTCAGATGAAGGATTTTCCAGTACAGCCTAGAGAAAGGATATCTGCCCACACTCTCCCATGAAATGCTGGATCCTCAGCTGACTTTAATTAGAGACACCTCCATTTCCATCACTGCAGGATGTGATGTGAGGCTTTCTCTCCAATTTTCTACAAATCATACTCTGTCCTGCCATTTTGCTGCTATTCTGGCTGGTATCTTCCTCTTCCCTTTTCAGTTTAAGAGCTGTGGTGATGCCCAGCACTCATTGCTTTGTATCAGGATTGCACTAAGCTGAAACTCAGGTGCTGGGAGCTCTCCTCTTTTAAGTGCCCTTGCTGGCTTGCTCTCTGTTTTGGGAGGTAGAGGGGAGCAGGACAGTACACTGGAGAGATGCTCCCAAATTTCTCTGGCAGCTGTGCTCCCCTTCATTTTTTTAGCAACTCCTTAGGACCATCATGCATTTATGAAGCTTGAAAAAAAAAACAAACAATGCTTTCAAGTCACAAAGACAACAAAGTCTCTCAGATGCGGACGGCACCAGCGATAATGAATTAGAAGCTGAAAGGTCAGGTCACTGATTTCGCGGGTGACTTTTTGGCGGGACAGAGGACCCGCTGAGCCTGAACCCGCCGGGTGTCTCACCTCGCAGCTGCTGGAAGCAGGTGGTGCTGCTGTCCCCATCCAGAGGGTGCCGCAGGACGCCGTTGCTGGGCTTGGGGCGCTCGTAGTCCCTGTCGGGCAGCATGGCCTGCTCGCTGTCCCCAGCGCGCTCCGCCCGCGGCGGCAGCGACTGCGGGAACCCGAACATGGGCAGGGACGAGAAGAAGAGTAAGGCACCGCAGAGCAGGAAGCCTCCCCACCACGCTCCGATCCACCGAGGGTCGTCCGGGGTTATGTCCAGCTTACCTGCGGAGAGAGCAAACACGAGTCAAACTGGGCCACGGGGAGGGGGAGACAATGCTGTGAATGATCCTGCGGGCTTGTAAGAGTCAGTCTGGAGTTTCCCTTATTTGCCTCATGACTGTCGCAAGAAGACCCCGAGGACCCACCCCAGTTCTGGCCTGGTCGGCTTTGGACAGGAGTCTCTGGCCTGGCCGAGGGGGATGCTTGCCAAGTGACTGTTTGCAGGAGTGTCGTGCTCACTGGACTGTGCTGTCACGGTACCAACTGAAGGCTGCATGTACTGCAAGTCTGCACCTGCCTCTCGGAGCACCTCACAATGGTCCATAACTCTTCCCACCTCTTGGCCAGAAGCCACTCCCTTTGGAAAAGGACTATAAAAGTGACCCTCTGGAGAAGCTTTTGAGTACTGCCCACAGATGAAGACCTGTCTATTGGCTGAGGACCACGAGGATGTCCATCTCATCTGTTGGTAGCTATTCCCACATTCCCCTCTTTTTCTCTCTATACTTCGTTTCCTATATCTCTCCCCTCTATCGCAACTGAGTTGCTAGCATTCAATAAAAATGCATTGCTGTGACTAAACTGATTTGTCCCCTGCTATTTGCCTTTTGCACCTCCGAGATCCAAAAACGAACTATCACGACCCCCGCCTGCGTTGGCAGATCGTGACAGGGCTGCAAGGTGGTTGTTGGGGCTTTTGTTGGCCTTTGTTGGGTGGTGATGATGCCTTAAATAAGTTTTTCTGTTCTGCTTGGATGTGCTCTTCCATTGTGCTTGGAGGGTGAAGACAAAACAGTCTGATTCCAGCTAAGGACTCAAGGACAATTTCTCCAAACTTCAGGCCCGAAGCATAAACAATGTAAAAAGAGGAGAGTGGGCATGTAAGCAAGCAAGGAGGATGAAACTTCATGATTTGAGACTATTAATTGGACAGCTGACTCCTGCATGCAAATGGACTGAAACCTATAAAGATGTGAGATCTCGTGACCAAGGCCTCTTCTTGCTTCCATCTTGGAGCCATCCAGGCAGGGGCCATGATTGGTATTGCCAGGGTGTGGCCTTTGAAGGCCTCTCAATAAATATCCATTTATTCCCCTTACTCTGTTCCAGCTCCTCTGGGCATCAGCATGGGGCACCAGACACAAGGTGGGAGCCCACAGTGCACCCCACAGCTGCAGTGTGTGAGCCACCAGTGCAGTGTCCTCTGCACCCAAGAGATCCCTAGGGCCAGCTCCCATCACCTCCTCTATCTAAATGTCCACCCAGCCTCTGCAGCACCCTGTAATCAGAGCTTCTCCCTAATGCTGGCCAGGGGTTTTAAGCACAGAATCACAAACGAGATGGGACTGCTGTGGAACATGTCTCGAGCTGCTTTATTATTGTTTTTTCCTCTCAAGCATCAATCTCTTTACATGGTTGGGACAGTGGGAAGATGCCAGCAGCTCATGCACTCGACAGCAGCCAGAGAACATGATGTTACAACACACTTTGAAAGTTTTTTGACCAGTAACAAAAGCAAAAACATATTGCCAATAGTTCTATCCAACCACTATAAGTACACATACCTTTAGTTAAAACAATGCTTGTTTATTTCGAATACAATACCTACTTGTAAGCCTTAAAATACAATGCACAGAGCTCCATTACTAAGCTTAGACCTTCCTAATATCTTGCTAGATATACTTTTCTGCAGCTTAGAGACTTATTCTAGCCAAGCGTTAATACACACACCATTGTTCTATTTTTCCTTGCTTTCTACAGCTCATACAACTTTGCTGCTGACAAACCTTATGCTTTCTGCTTAGCTCTAACTGCAGTTTGCTGTCTCTGAGGCCTGCTTTTTTGCAGCTTTCCCAAAACCCCCTGATTTTAAGGATTCCCACACTCCCTACTGTTTCTGGCTCTGCCAGCTCTTGGAAGCTGCTGTATACCTGTGTCCCTGTGCTGGCACTGAGGATTTGGGCATCCCTGTCCCAGTGTGTCACACTCACCTGGCACACCTACTGGCACAGACCTGCACAGAGAAGGACACTGCTTACCACCCTATTCTCCCAGGTGCTCAATGCTCCCTCTGCTTTGAATTCACAGCTCTCTTCAGCAAAAGAGAGATTGGCATTTGGGCTTTAGGGGCACCTGTGACAGTGTGGAGCATGAAACAGTCCTAAATATTGGAAAAGAAACCCACCCACAGAAACAAATGGGCTCAGGAAAGTACAGAAATAATCAGAAAAGGAAGAAAAACAAAAATAAAAGGCTAGAGTATCCTGTAGGCCGTCACTCAGCAGAGGTAAGGCCTAAAAAGGGTCTGGAGTCACTGTGGGGAAATACAAATAAACAGCAGGAGAGGAAAAATGGTTATTCTAACAGCTGCCTTGCTGCCACAGCCACAGGGGTACCCAGTGTTGGAGCTGATTCCTGGGGGACACCCAGGTCCACATGGCTGGAATAACAAGCTCCTCTGTTCATGGTGACTGTCTGGTTATTGCCACTCTGAAAAATCTGTCTCAAGTGAGGCAATCAAGTTGTCTCTCAAGCAGAGACAGAAGGAAACTCTTTTCTCCTTAGGGAAAATAACACGTAGCTCTCAAATACAGATAAAGTTTGAAAAATAGTGTTGTGGAGGGACTGGATACTTCTACTGTTATTTCCTCCTGCCTGAAGTGCATTTTTTTCAGGTTGTTGGGAACACAACAGCGTGAAGAGTCAGGCAAATCAGAGTCTTTTTCATATTCCCTTCCTAAAATAGCAGCTGGGTGATGGGCAGTGCAGCAGTGTGCCCTGGCATCCCACATCTGCCCAAAACAGGCAGCAGGACAAGGCTCAACCCACTGGAGCTTGTTCTCTTTTTGCTGCCTCAAGCTGCAAGGCAGAGCCAGCTGCAAAGTGGAAACTCTTTCCCATACAAAAATAAACAGAGGCCATGTGTGCCCAGCTTTTGCACGCCAGTGACTGACCATGGCCAAAGCCAGCTGGACCTGGAGCTGGGAGCACTGCACCCTCCCTGGAAAGTGGCTGAGCCACAGCCCTTCCAGGCTTCTCAGCAGTAATGTTCTACAGTTCTTCTCTGTGGCTCAGTATTTGTCTGGGATCTTTTGAGCTGTAAATACTGAGCAATGTCTTATGTTAAAAATGGCCAGAAGACACCAAATTAATTTTTTTAGCTAGGTCAGCATCTTGCCTCTGATGTTAACCAGCTGCAGCTGCCCAGAAAGCCTACAAGAATAAAGTCAGCATATATTATTCTTGTGGCTAGGGGGCTTTCTAAGCTAGATTTGGTGTCATGTTCATTTTTTCATATATAAACTTATGCAATTGCTTTGAAATCCATTTGGAGATTTTTAGCACCTTATGGTGAGGAGTTCCACAGCTTCACCTACTGGGAGATAAAATATTTTCTTCTTTACATTCATATTTTAGTGTAAATTGTACTAAATGGTCAAATATCTAACAGGTTTCAAACAGCTCCTCTGCCAAACTAGGCTTTGGTAAAGCCAAGGAATGAAAAGGGGCCATGTGGTGTTTTGACCAAACTGCAGCCAAATGTCTCAGCCATCCTAAAAGATACTTCTTTCTCATTTGATATTATTTACATTTCTTCAGCTGTCATGTGCATGCGAGATCAAAAAAAGGCAGTAACACTTCTGCAGATTTGCACAATTCTGTTCTGAGTCCTGAAAGGTTCAACTCCATCCAAATGCGTTCTGTGACAATGCATCTGCAACATTCAGGGGCTGAAACACACCCTCCCCTCCAAGGGACAAAAAGGGACCCCTCACAAGGGTCTGTGGGTCCCGGTGGAGCTGAGAACTGTGGAAAAAGCACCTAGAGGGAAAAGAATCAGGTTTGCTGTGTGCAGCCAGAGAGCTGGGGAGCAGCAGAGAACAGCCTGGTACATGTTGCCATCTCATGGCTGAGAACACACAGTGCAGGCACCAACAAAAGCAGAATTTGGTCTAAATGAACAAAAGGACAATTCGCAAACAATCTGCTTTAACCCAGTGAAGTCAAGGTGAGCAATTATCATTTAATGCTTTGGAGAAAAGCAATAACGCCATGGGATCTTACTGGCTTGCCTCCACCAGAACCTGGATGGCTCCCCCACACCCTGGGCAGCTCCCCAGATTTCACCCCGTGCTCTGGACACAGCTACCCCAGCATGACAATGCCACAGTGCTGTTTCACAGTGTCCTTTCAGAGCTGGGATGAAATTCATCTCATAGTAGAAAACACAAAAGGGAACAAATTTTCACCATTACAAATCTGTTATTTATCAGAACAGTGATGAAACATTTTGAATCTCAGTATTAAAACCCTTCTAAAAGTGACACTCATCCATGCATGAGGCACTGAAGATGGGTGACAGACAGTTTCCTGCTTGTGAAACATCAACATTTTTGTCCTGATGATAAAAAATTTAGCATATTTGATTTGAAACCAAACCCAGTTCTCCTTACTTGTGTCAATGAAGACAGCATCCACATAGATTTTGGTACAGAACGAGCCCAAGATAAATCCACAGGCTGGTCCAAATACCAGCATCGTAAACAGGATCCCTACAAGGAAAGAGAAAAGAGAAGATTAGTACCAGGCTCTGGTTATTCATTGCAAGTTGTTCTGCTTGTCTGCTGTAAGATGGTATTACCTTCGTGATGCCAGATAGATAGGGACATCTCTGCATTGAATGCTCCAGGCAAAAGAACACCCTAAATGTGTTTTGCTTTTCCATATCTCTTCAGGAAAATGAACAGATGGAGGTGTGATAATGCTGAAGGATTTCTACTGAGCTGAGAAGACACAGTGGACATATGCTGTGTTTTGGTCGGCTGGCTGCTCTAAAAGATGTCTTACTCAACAGCACAAGGTAAAGCAGACCTGCCTTCTCCTCACAGGCAGCTCTGTCTTTGCCACCCCCACCTAAAATCCTGCTAGACAGAATTTTCAGACATTAGGGACAGCAAATCTACGAAACAAGTGTTGTCACAGACTGCTGGATAAAGTCCCTTTACAGAAGTAGGAGCACTTTTCCAAATCTGTGAAGTCCTTCTCCCCATCAGACACACAATATTCATGATGTGTGGATCTTCCAGCTTCTCACAACTGCTTGTTCTTTCTGCAAAACCTGAGTGAAATTGCCAGTGGAATGGCAGAAGAGCTATTACAAGTAAATTACTTATTTGTTTCAATACAGTATTTAGAAGCATTTATTTTCACTCCCATTTTGGCCCTGAAACAGGAATGCTACAGGCACAGCGCCAGCTCTCAATTATCCAGGGCAGAAAGGCAGGGGGACACGAGGATAATCCAGAAAAAGAAGCAGTTAAGATAACACAAAACATTTGTAAATTAGACAATAAGAACGTACTAGGTACTTTCACATTTGGGATAACAACAACATTTGGGAAAAAAAACAACAAAAAGTCCCCCAAGGACCCTTGTAAATGGCTTTCTGAAGGGAGCAGGGCCAGACTGAGCAGTGTGGAGCAGAACAAGAGCCTGGATTTTCCCTCTGGGGCAAGACATTGCAGATGGACCCATGTGCCTGGTGAGGGGGGCAGCTCAGCAGGGATGTTCCAGCAACAGTCCTGGTGTCCCTGCACTTCAGAAATGGCCCATGAAAGAGCTTATTTGCATCTGGGTGCTTTGCTCACTCTCCTAATCTCTCTGGGGGTGTTGCCTGGCATCTCAGTGCATTTATAATGCACTTCATCACAGCTATCTCAGCTCTCAAGTTCCTTATCTGGAAACTTTTTAATTCCCAAGTTCCCTCTCTGTGCATTTCTTAGGAGCTGGAGAAATTATCAGAGCTGCAAAAAAATTCCCAGACCACCATCCCCAGGCAAGGCAAACCTCACCTGCCAACAACAGCTTAGCCAAGCAGAATAAACTGGTACGGTCAGAAGCAACTTCACCTTCATTTTTAAAATGCAGGGTGCAAACGAATTCCTCCAGGTTGTTGGCACTGGGATTGGCTGGATTAGCAACCAGGGACAAAGCAGAGGTGCCTCAGCCAGCTGCTCACACACAAACGTGGTGCATTAAAGCCTTCATGGCTCATCTCCAGCAGCACGAGGGGCAAACGAAGGAGGAGGGAGGAGAAGTGCCAGGTTGTATGAGCTGCAGCGAGGGGACACTGCTGACAGGGCAGCAGCAGGAGCTGCCAGCCCCTGCCCAGTCTCTGCCAAAGCTGCAGCAATGCCACCGTGTCACAGCCTGTGCTGACAGCTTGAATTATTCCCCAGGGTCTGTGCCCGTGATGTCCCATGTCACAAGCTGAGCAGCCATGTCCCCTCCTGCAGTCCCCCTGTCCTGGGGTGCTGGGTTTGGGCTCCATCAGCCAGCACTACACTGGGGAATTTGTGCTCCTCGAGCAACAGAGCTGCTGAGCCTTGCTCCTTTGGGGATCCATAAAGCCTCACAGGGAAGATCCATGGTTACTGCAGAAGCATTTTGTGGGATGTGAAATGAGGGAAGAGCCAGGCTGGGAGAGCAGAAAAAAAGGGATTTATTTTTCCCTTTCCACGCCTCAGCCCCATCTCCCCTCCTTCCCAGCCCCACTTGTGGCTATACAGTTTCCATCAGGATTTTATAAAATATCCATGTCACATAGTTTTTTGGTCACTAGATGGCATCAGTGTTTGTCACTCAGCCCCCAAGTGCCATGCGGAGCAGGCTGGGTGACAGTGATGCTCATCCTTGCTCCCAAAACACGATGGTGCTCCTGGGGTCCTACAGCCCCAAGGAGGGTGACACTGACATAGGGCACTGCCAGCACCAACAGATCTGCCATGCACACACTCAGTCTGTGCCCCTTCCCTGTCTTCATGCAGAAAATCACAGGTTTTTGGACAAACTGTTCTATAATTGTGAAGTTTTCAGGCACAGAGTTGAAGGAGACAGCGTGTAGCAGAGATTGCCACGGCTACTCCTGTGATGAATGAGGCAGCATTCAAATACATTTGAAAACGGAACTTTAATTCCGAATTTCTATGTAAATATAAATGTGGTCAAGCACATAAGGACATGCTGGGCCCCATATCAGCTGGAACAATGACAAATGGAGCTACTCAGGCAGAAGGAGAAGAGCCAGCCAGTTCTACCCCCTAGGCAACACCTTTGGATGCATCAGTGTTGGGTTGAGCAGGGATGGAAGTTTGTCCCGTGATGATCTTCAAACCACAGAGGTGTCTGACCATGTGTGTACAGGGAAAACCACAGAACTGGTGTTTGTTTCATGGAGCAAAGTGCAAGACAAAGAACATGGAAAAAGATCATTCTTCACCAAAAGCAAAAAGGAAATATTTTCCCCTTTTCCAAAAGCAGAAGAGAGCAGGAACCTGTGGCTGGTGATACAGCAGCAGCAGGGAGATGCTTGCAGAGAGAACTATCTCAGAAAAAAGGCAAACATCCAGAAAGCTGTAACCTGTGCAGGCACAGGAGACAGATGAACACTGCCCCTCCTCACACTATTGCATCTCAAAACCACTATGGCAGAACCAAGCTCTGTCCTCAGTTATTAAAATACCACATTTCACATCCTAGTGGCTGCAGGAAGGCACGATTTGCCATGCCCTCACTAGAGGGCAATGTGGGATAGAGCATGCACTGAAACACCTATCTAACATCTTGCAAAAGCTATTAAATTATTATTCACCTCTAGGCTAGCTTTAAAAAAGCCATGTTAATTGTGTTTTCTCTTTTTCTGTAGTTTATTCTAAAATCACGAAAACAACCAGTTCACCCCCATGCCCTTTTTTATCTTTGTTTTGGGACTAACGAAATCCTAGGGTTGCAATAATACTATTTTACACTTTAATTCACAAATCAAGCAGACTGTGGAAAAACCCAAGGCATGGACTGTCACAATGGATAGTCCAGGGTCTGTACAGAGCAGGACCACGCTCAAGGATCAATGGAGCATGCTGCTGGGCACAAAAAATAGGCCAATTAAGCAATTGGGATAGAGCCTGTGGTTGAACATTTATGCGGAATTGAGGACACAAGGGGAAATTAGGCAAGTTCGAATTCGCTTAAGACATCCTTCCCCTTTTGAGAAATCCTGTACAACTGCTACCACCCCCACTATTAGGAGAACACTTTCCACATCACCCACCTCACCATGCAACCACAAAGCTCCTGTTTAGTAGAGAAGAAGGTCTGGCAAAGCCCTTTTCCCAGTGCTGGGGTTGCTAAGAATTCAAATGTGCTAAATTTGTGGCGAGCTTTAATACCACTTGCTTGGTCTTTTTCCCATGTTTCCCTCTAACTTTTAGAGGGAAACCTCTAAATACCAGGAGAAACAGATCAAAGGTCCTATCCTGGTTCCACAGGCTCTTGGGAAACTCCCACTGATGTCAATAAAACCAGTGATCAGTACAGGTACTGAAATTTGATTTTATTTTTAATCTCAGAGTCATTTTTTAAAAATTCTTACTAAATTATGGCAGTTCTTAGAAATACTTCAGAAAAGTGAACTGAAAAAAAAGGCAACTCTGTCTTGGGACAATTCAAACACTTTGGTAACTCTCAAACACTTCCTTCCAGTTTGTGTCCTTTTAGAGCACACTTACATCTTAGTTTGAAAACAGTTAATAATTTTCAGTTTACCTGTGCTACTCTCTTAATCAGTCTCCCTGACTCCCAAAAAGGCAGAAAAAAAAAAAAAGGTGGCAAAGTGGGCTGCACTGAGAAATCAGAAGCATTTTCCTCTTCATCTTTTCAAATGGAACAATTTGCTAAATCCTACTTTGCCCTGTCAAATAACATTTTCCCAGAGCTGAGGAAAGTATTGGGACAGAGGTGAGTATTAGATCTGACATTTTGTGATGAGACTTTATCAGTGGTAAGGCCCAAGACTGATAATGCAGTTTTCCATTAGAGCAAAGGGAAGGAGCAGCAGCAGGTACCACATCTGTGAAGAGATGGTGGCACTGAGATGCTCTGAGTCATGCAAAGTGCACAGAAACCAAATTGCAAAGACAGGGATAAAGGGATAGGGATACTGTCAGTGCTTCAGTAATAAAGAGCAGTCCCTTGATGTTTCAAGTTGCTTTCTAGTAGCAACAGGATCCTGAAACATGAGCAAACCTGTGTTGTTTGCAGGGTAAAACAGGTGAGGCATCAACTCAATCCCTGTAATGAATTAACTGGGGACAGTAACTCCCAGGAGAAGCTCTCCCGGCTGGAAATAAGGCATCAAGGGACACACTGCAAGGCTTGCCAGTCTCACCAAGGTGCAGTGAGAGGCATCTCAGGTGCAGCTCTCTAAGGAACGAGAGCAGGCTCAGCACATCACGGGCTGAGGAAAAAGAACACGTGGGCAGCTAAAGAACACCAAGACATTTCACTTCAAAGCCTCAGCCTCACCAGGGGCTGAAGACATGAGGAAATTTAGTTTGGAGAGCTGCCAGGCAAAGGTGAGC